ATATATATATAATACAATATGTATAACTAATAAAACAATACATATATATTTAATATGAAACTGCTGCTATATGACTGATCCTGTTACACATACATAAGTGTGTTGTAAAATATTATAATATAAAGTATTTTTTTTATACTCAGAACACACAAACACAGTATTTTTTATTTTTCCCACAAAACCACCAGCAGTGTTGGGGTTGAAAAGTGACACGTAGTTCACCACTTCTTGTTCTACTTCTGCTTGTAGTTCATGACTCTGTGCCACCTTCCACTGGCAGCTTGATATTCATCCGTCAGTCTTGGCTGGTGATCAAACTGTCACATCAGTACAGCATAACACATGATCTGTAAATATGATGCCAGTGACTTGACAAGAAATGCTGTCATATATATACTTCAATGTCTACCTTCACTGAAAATGTAGTGCAAGAAAATGAAGTGATTGAGTGGATGTGTCGACACACAATCACATCATCTCAGCTGGACAGCAGTGGAGCCATACCTCCTTTCTCAGTAGCAAATACGTTTAAGGTGAGCCAGACCTGCACAGACTTCATCACCGACGATTGATTCCTGGTTAGACTTCTGTCTGACTCAATCCCAACTTGCTCGGACGTCTTACTCACATAAGCAACGATAACATTGTGAGATCAGGACGGTTGCGGTGTATAGAGTCAGACGCTCTCTAGTTGCTCTCCAGTGACCTCAGAACATGAAGGAAAACTCCCTGGTTTACCTGATCTAACAGCTGATTGGTTGAGATGTTGACTTGACAATGTTTGAGAGAAACTTTTCATTTTAGTCGATTTAAAGAAATTTTATTCTGGTTTATTCTTTATGTGTGGTTGGTGTTTTTCAGAGAGGCTGAACACAGTTTAACCACACATGATAAACTGCAGACAATATGTAGTTCTAGTACAGTAACACTGGGATGATTTAATTCTGAACAACCAAACATTGCAGCTAAGGAAAGTGAGGATTGTTAAAATAACATCAGTACTGAAGCTTCAGCCCTGATAGTCTGACAGATCAGAACTAAAAGCACTTGTTCTATATAGTATCATGCTATACTAGTTTATTTTCTTTGTTATCAGGGTTTTCTCTGTATTTATGTAGTTTGACAGCAACATGTTTGGACTCCTGATTTATGTACAAACTGATCTGATGCTGATTTAAAAGAGAATTTGAATAAAATGTGTGATCAGACATCACAGATCACATATTTTAGAGATGTTAAATGCAGTCCTGATATAACTAATTTTTAACATTAATACATTCAAAGTTTGTTTCTGTGAGTTTACAAAGGAAACAGTGAAGAGTTACTGTATATATATATATAGCATGTTAAGGAGTGATGGATTATTTACATGGAAAATGTTTTGAAAACTTTTAATCATTTTAATCATGTTAAAGCAGATAATTATTGTTTCAATTGTGTCTAAAGTAAACATTAGGTGCAATAATATTTATACATGGCAAAACATGACATGAAAGATCTATAGCTTTAACTGAAAATTAAAAAACAAACTAATAAAATAGTTTGGGGACCCTGAATGTTACAGGAAACTAAAAGGGGAAACTGGCTGATAATCATCCTTTTGATTTTATGCACTAAATATTCTACTCAGGGGGTTTTGAAAATACTGCTTTCTAAAGATGTTTCAGAAACTGAAGATGTGTTCCGAGTATTGAAGATGAACCTGAGGAAAACAGTTGCGTGGTTGCCGAGTAGAGGAAGCTTGTAGGCCGTAATGGAGTCATCACACACACGACGAAAAGTCTGTCTGCTTGTCTGCACACTGAATATCCATTCATAGCTGCTCCATCCACAGATTGTGGGACTACAGTGACCCACTAACCAGCAGAACAACTGCCAGGAGACACAGGCCGAGTCTTACGGTTAAGCTGCTCCAGGATGACAAAGACGCAGAAATTTCTGACCTCAAATCAGAATCTGACACGGTGGAAAATTAAAAGACACAGGTGTTTCTGAACGTCAGGACAGTCCCAATAGAGACTGCTTTTGTGGTGCTTGTGGAGTTTCAATTTCTTCAAAAGAAACCCAGTGGTGAGACCTGTCCTCCTCCTCAGAAACTTCAGTGAAACCTCTTACCGGGTGCACACTCAAAGCAATCCGGTTACTAACAATCTGAAATTAATGTAATTACTGTTGGCGGGGGCTGAACAAGTGTGGAACATAAATGAGTCCAGTGATGACTGTGTCCTGCATCACATCATGTATACATATAATATCATCTACCAAAGAGGTTCTGCCCTGAGCTCAAATGTTTAACTCAGCTTTGTTTGCAGGAAAACCCTCGCTTTAATGCAGTCGTCTCATTTAAACAAGAATCGACTGCATACTTTGACAGATCATAGGTTGACACCGTAAATCACCACAAACTCTTATCGTGCTTTGATGAAGATTTGTACCATTAGTTTATAATAACTTTATGAATATAGCATAAACAAGAAAAAGCATAATGGTAAATAAGAAATAGAAACAATCACAAGTTTTGTTCTGAACATAATTGTGGTTAAAGAGTTTAAACAATTAAATGGTTAAAATGATGCAAGGTGGGTTTTGTACAGAGTTTCTGAAAGGATTAGGCCGTCTGCTTAAACTTCTCTGTCTGGTTGTTCAGCTCAGGGGTCCTGATTTTAATCATTACCTTTATGAAAAGTGTGCAGGCTGCTGTGTGGTTTTGTGGATTCTCCTGGAGTATGAGGAGATTTGCAGTTCTTTTTCAATAACAGTGTGTTGCTTTGCCCTCAGCA